CTGCTGAGACACTGATGCAATGCTACATTTCTCCAAACCTGATGAAGAAACAAACTCATCCTGATCTCGGATGAACTGAGGGTGGGCACATTTACAGCAAATATTAATTTTTGGGTGAACTATTCCTTTAATACTGCAAATACTGCAAAATGCATGCTGCCAGTTTTTCACAGTGAGGTTTGGCCGCATTCAATCCCGTCGTGTCACAGTTGAAGGTTTATTTCAAGCACCTGTTGATCTGAAGTGGATTCGGTCACGTAATGAGTGTGTGTGTGTGTGTGTGTGTGTGTGTGTGTGTGTGTGTGTCTCAGAGCTTTGTTGATTACGTGTGTTGTGTGTAAATAAGACTAGCAAGGTCACTTCTGTGTCACACACTCGAGGGGAAGCAGGAATCTCCTTTAAACTCGAGAGCTCAGATTAACCAAGATCAGATATCTCTGCAGGGTCTCGGTGGATTGTGTGCGATGCATCTGATGAACGAATATGTTTTTGTTCAGTATTTTCGTCTGTCACAACAGAGAACAGCCTGATGTGTTTCTTTAGTGCGTATCATGTTGAATAATTACTGCTAACACAGCAGCACAGTGCATTCTGGGAGTCGTTGCGCCACGTCCCTTTCTGGTGTCCTTGAAAATATATGGAGACAATATGTAGTAAATGGATATGTTTTTTGTTTAAGAATTGAAAGATTGACACAGAAACAGGATTGATTAGCAGGAGTTAGTTCTATGATAGTTTCGTAACACTTTACAGTAAGGTAAACATTAGTTAACGTGAACTAATACTTAAATATAATTTATTATAACTAGGGTTGCAAAAATTTGGAAAATTTCCAGTAAATTTTGGAAACTTTCCAGGATTTTTTGGAATATTCCAGGGATTTTTGGAAAGTTTCCAGAGATTTACCGGAAATTTTCCACCCCTTTGCAACACTAATTATAACATTTATTAATCTTAGTTAATTTACTAATACATTATTAAAATCAAAAGTAAAATATCTGTTAATATTATTAATTTGTTTTAGTCATTTTTGTGTGTTTTTGCCATCTTTATTGTGTCTATGTAGTATATTTTGAATTGGTGTTTTTTATATCTTTTCGGGTTTTATTTTAAGTTTAGTTAAAGTGAACATGAGCTAACAATGATAAATAGTTTTAAAACATTTATTAAACTTAGTTTAATTTTAAATCAAACATTATCTAATACATCTATCGTTTACAATCAGAAGTTGCATCAGTTAATATTATTAATATTAAAAACACATAATATTTCTCTTTTAATATTCTTTGCACTCAGAAATGTCATATTGTATAAGTAAAATGTGTTGTGATTGGTGTTTCATGTTGATTATTTGAATTGTACCTTTGAGTGTGATTTAAATATACACCATTCAAAAGTTTGGGGTCGGTAAAATTTAATAAAAAAATATTTGTATTCCTCAAGGATTTATTAAATTAATCAAAAGTGACATTTATAGACATTTATAATAAGATTTCTATTTCTAATAAATGCTGTTCTTTTGAACTTTCTATTCATCTGTGAATTCTGAAAAATAAAATGTATCGCAGTTTCCACAATGTTTTCAACATTGTTAATAATCAGAAATGTTTCTCAGCATATTAGAATGATTTCTGAAGATCATGTGACACTGAAGACTGGAGGAATGATGCTGAAAATACAGCTTTGATCACAGAAATAAATTACAGTTTAACAGATATTCACACAGAAAACAGCTGTTTTAAATTGTAATAATATTTCACAATATTTACTGTATTTTTGATTAAATAAAAGCAGCCTTGGTGAGCAGAAGAGGTTTATTTTAAAAACATTTAATGTTCTTGCTGACCCCAAACTTGTGAATGGTAGCGTAACTTTTGCCTTTTAATAAAGACCCTCAGTAGTGTTTTTAGTGTTATTCGTTGTTAATCTAAGCGTTTAGCGTTCCAGTTGAATGCAGAAATCTGATCTGTAACAGATACACGTGTAAAACACTAGCCGGTGGAGTCATTGTTGTGCTGCTTTGTTCAGGATTGTGGAAGCAGCAACAGATGGCTAACAGCTCCAGTGATTGTTCTCAGATCAGCTGCTCATAAAGCTCCGGCTGATTTATTTGGTATGAAGCGGCCGCAATTCGTCTGGAGGCTCGGCCCATCTTCGTTGTGTGCTGTAGAGAGGATGAATGATGCACGGCGAGTGATTGGTGTCGTTCAGCGCCGCTCGTATGTCACACACCCATAAAACACTGCTGCTTGTATTTATGACGAGTCTGTGAAGGAATGGACGGCCTTAAACAAAGACATGAACTCACTGTGAATCATTTACTGCTGCTCTTCAGGACTCTGCCGGTTTTCAGTTCAACAGTTTTGGTTACGGAAATTGAATCCAGATTATGAGTTTGATTTGCTCTTCTTGTACTAGTTTTACAGGCCTCAGGATTTATATTGGGCAAAATACAGTGGAATTCAGAGAAAAAATTCAGAATTGTGAAATTTAAAAAGCAAAACTTTAAGATAAAAGTCACAATTGCAAGATGTAAACGCAAAATTTTAAGAAAAAAGTCAGAATTGCAAGATATAAATACTAAATTTTAGGAAAAAGGTAAGAATTGTTTGAATTGCGGGATGTAAATGCATAACTATAAGAAAAAAGTCAGAATTGCGAGATGTAAACGCAAAATTATAAGAACACAATCATAATTGTGAGATTTAAACACAAAATTCTTAAAAAGTCAGAATTGCGAGATTTAAACGCAAAATTCTAAGAACAAAATCATAATTGCGAGATTTAAACACAAAATTCTTAAAAAGTCAGAATTGTGAGATTTAAACTCAAAATTCTAAGAGCAAAATCATAATTGCGAGATTTAAACACTAAATTCTTAAAAGTCAGAATTGCGAGATTTAAACACTAAATTCTTAAAAAAAGTCAGAATTGCGAGATTTAAACGCAAAATTCTAAGAACAAAATCATAATTGCGAGATTTAAACACTAAATTCTTAAAAAGTCAGAATTGTGAGATTTAAACTCAAAATTCTGAGCAAAATCATAATTGTGAGATTTAAACACAAAATTCTTAAAAAGTCAGAATTGCGAGATTTAAACTCAAAATTCTAAGAACAAAATCATAATTGCGAGATTTAAATGCAAAATTCTTAAAACAGTATGAATTGTGAGATGTAAACGTAAAAATCTAAGAACACAATCATAACTGTGAGATTTAAACACTAAATTCTTTAAAAAAAGTCAGAATTGCGAGATTTAAACGCAAAATTCTTTAAAAAGTATGAATTGTGAGATGTAAACGTAAAAATCTAAGAACACAATCAAAATTGCGAGATTTAAACTCAAAATTCTAAGAACAAAATCATAATTGCGAGATTTAAACACTAAATTCTTTAAAAAAGTAAGAATTGTGAGATGTAAACGTAAAAATCTAAGAACACAATCATAATTGTGAGATGTAAACGCAAAATTCTTAAAAAAAAAGTCAAAATTGCGAGATGTAAACGCAAAAATCAAAGAAAAAAGAATTGTGAGATGTAAACGTAAAAATCTAAGAACACAATCATAATTGCGAGATGTAAATGCAAAACTCTTTAAAAAAGTCAGAATTGCGAGATGTAAACGCAAAAATCTAAGAACACAATCATAATTGTGAGATTTAAACACAAAATTCTTTAAAAAAGTCAGAATTGTATCAGAATTGTGAGATGTAAATACAGAATTCTCAAGGCCCATCACACCAAGGACGATAACTATAAAGATAACAATATAGTTCTAAAAATCATTCTCAATATTAAAGAATAGCAGAGTCCACACCACAGCTATAATGATAAAGGCACAGAGAAACGATATCATTGGAATTATTTTCAAAACGATTTTTTTCCCAGCAGATGAACGATACAAACATTGACAGCCAATCAGAATCCATCCTGCTGTAACGAGCTGGAGAATTTAAAGCAGCAGACGAGCATGCGCTGAGAATAAACAGACGATATCGTACGCTGGTGTGGACGCTAATATCGTTATCTATATAGTTATCTATATAGTTTTCTTGGTGTGAACGGGGCTTAAGAACAAAATCATAATTGTGAGATGTAAATGCAAAACTCTTATAAAAAAAATAAAATAAAAAAAAAAGTCATTTCATGTCTCTTGATTTTCATGCTCTTAACAGGACAAAACACATAGTATTAAGTTATTTATTTTCTTTTTTATTTGTTGTTTTATGTTTTATTAATTTTTTTTTTTACTTTTATATTTTTCACTTGTTTTTCGCCACAAATGTCATAAACAAAATATAAACTATAATTATGAACAATCAATCAATTATTGTATTATTTTGTAATGGTGGCCTAACCTGTCCATGTTGACATCAGTCTAATGTAACTAGTTTCTTCCAAGTCTCTGCAAAAAATACAGCTCAAATGATGCAAATGACACAGAAATGTTGTATTTTGTTTCAAAAATCTGCATAGTCTGTGAAAAGCCGTCACTCATCTCTGGTTACTGTTTGTTGCAGGAGGGAGGAGAGGAAGGTGAAACATGATGAAATCCGCAAGAAGTACGGTGAGTAACGTCAATCCTACACTTCTGTCGTTAATATTCACAAGAGTTCGCTCACAGCTACTCATTATGACTATTTTCTGCATTTTACAAAAACAGTAGAGCCATGAAAATGTCAAATGGCATAAATAAAATTATGGAAATGATATAGTGACTAAAACCTGGTAAACAAATTTCACATTTTAGGTTATACAAATGCATCTATATATAGGGTTGGGAATCGAAAATCGATTTCAATTCCAGAATCGGATACTTCTTGTAAAATTAAAATTTCGATTACACCTGTCTAATCCTGTGTGCGATTTGGTTTTTCTTCATCTGTGAGGACCTGACAATAAAAGTTATTTGATTTGATTTGATTTGACCTAGCGGTCTGCCGTTGACCTAAAGAGAGCAGCTGTCATCTGTCATGAATGAAACCGCTTCACAGTCTTTTCAGCCAAACATTCAAGTTACAAACATTCAAATCACAGAAGTACTGGGACAAATGTTTATAGTTCAGATATAAACTGTGATGTGTACGGTAGCGATTAAAATAGAGTAAATCACCTTTTGAAAGTAATTGGACAGTTCAAAAAAAGATTTATCGATTACATTGTTACGCCAGTAGGTGGCGAAAAGGGGCTGTTAAAATGTATTTGTCTTTGAATCATACAAAAGATTTTTTTCAAGAACGCTGATTCATCCAGTAATGAAACAAGTACATCTTGAGTGAGTCATTGAATCATTCATTCATAAATTACATGCGATTTTGTTTAGTTGTCTAATGTTTTTTCTTCAGAATCGTGAGAGAACCACAACTTCCATTGAAAAAATAAAATAAAACTCAATTTATCCAGAATCATGCAGTTCTATTTTGTAGAGCCCGACCGATATATAGTTTTGCCGATATGAGCCTGTCGCCGATATATCGGTGTTGGCGAATATGCCGCCGATATGAACATTTTTTTACAGAACATATAATATCGGCCTTTTTTTACTCCCTAATATTGGTATCGGCCCCGAAAAACCCATATCGGTCGGGCTCTGCTATTTTACACACAAACAGCTCTTAAAGAGTCCAGTTTTTATGTAGCCTGTTGATTTTTTTCATGGTATTCAGCAGAAATTAAATGGTTTGCAAAAACAGACACAGGATAAATGTTTGATATACTTTTTTTAATCACATTGGAATCGGAATCGATAAAATTCAAACGATACCCAACCCTATCTATCTATCTATCTATGTATCTATCTATGTCTGTCTGTCTCTCTGTCTCTCTGTCTGTCTGTCTGTCAAAGAATACCGGCCAATATATCGATATCGGCCTTTTTTTACTCCCTAATATTGGTATCGGCCCCGAAAAACCCATATCGGTCGGGCTCTGCTATTTTACACACAAACAGCTCTTAAAGAGTCCAGTTTTTATGTAGTATGTATGAAGTGAAGTAGATCAAAACCTTTCATCAAAGTTGTCCTAAAACCAAAACAATACCCGTTCTTGTCTTAAAACGTATATACAATTGTAGAAATAAAATGTTGTTTTACAATGTAATTCATACAATGCCGTTCAAAAGTTTGGGGTCCGTAGAATTTTTTAATGTTTGTGAAAAAATTATCTTCTACTCTGCATTTATTTGATCAAAAATACAATAAAAATTGTGAAATGTTATTATAATTTAAAATAACTGTTTTCTGTGTGAATATCTGTTAAGCTGTAATTTATTTCTGTGATCAAAGCTGTATTTTCAGCATCATAACTCCAGTCTTCAGTGTCACATGATCTTCAGAAATCATTCTAATATGCTGATTTGCTGCTCAAGAAACATTTCTGATTATTATCAACGTTGAAAACAGTTGTGCTGCACAATATTTTTGTGGAAAAAGTGATACATTTTATTTTTCAAGATTCACAGTTGAATAGCAAGTTCAAAAGAACAGCATTTATTTGAAATATATATCTTTTGTAACATTATAAATGCCTTTACTGGCATTAATGTAATGCGTCACTGATGAATTAAATATTAATTTCTTTCAAAAAAAGAAAAAGAAAAATCTGACCTCGAACTTTTGAATGTTTTGTAGTGTTTATATATGGTCAGCAGACGTTGTGTACCATGTTTGTTCACTCACTGATGTATTTCCTGTTGAGGAATTAGCTGGAGATAATTGCACCAATAATTATGGTCGGGATTTAGACTGGTGCAACTACAAAGTGCTCAATTCTGCATCCACATCTTATTAGCTAATACATCTTCAGTTGTTACGTTTTGGCTGATTACAGGACATCATGTGGAGTTGTTGTAACGCAGGTCTTTATTGATCTGGTTCATTGTGTTGGGCTCAGTAATGCTGTATTCAGCAGATAACGTGTTCTTCAAACGCAGTCCGATACAGGAGCACTCAGCTTTCTGATCGACTCGTGCGCGTCCCAACACTGCCCGATCAATACTGATGTGGCTCCTCGGCAGAGGACGAGTGGAGATTACAAATGAGTTGTATGTGTAGAAATGCTTATGGAAGCTTGTTTCAACCACAGAATATAATATGAAAAAGGTAATTACGACTCCATTCAGATTTTTTCCCCCAGTGTTTTGATTGCGAGATGTAAATGCAAAACTAAGAAAAAGGTCAGAATTGCGAGATGGAAATGCAAAACTGAACGGAAAAAATCTGAATTGCTAGATACAAAACTAAGAAAAAAGTCAGAATTGCACAAAACTGTACGAAAAAGTGAGAATTGCGAGTTGTGAACGCAAAACTCGAAAAAAGTCAGAATTGTGAGATGTAAACTTAGAATTGAGTAAGTTGGAAATGCAAGATATGAAACTTGCAATTGAGAGAATTGAGATAAGTCGCGGTTACCTGTTTTATATTTTTATTCCATGACTGATAGAAGCTTCCATAAATACTAACGCTAACAGTTGCAGAAAAAACAAGTCAAAATTAAGTGAGTTTTTGCTTAGAACAAGCAAAATAATCTTATTTCAAACAGAAAACAAAAACTGTGTCCATCTGGTAAAGGCTAAGCAAGGTCTTAATTCACAAGTAATGAGTAAAATAATTATGCTTTCAACAATAGTAATTAGTACCTATTGTATTATTTTACTAATTACTTATGAATTAAGACCTTGCTTAGCCTTTACCAGATGCACACAGACACCAACCTGTCCTTCAGCTCATTATTAAAGATCAATTATCTGTGCAACGCAGAAAACGCCACATGCATATTTCATCAGATTGCATTTACTAAAATTTCAGTCCTTTTCTTAATTACTAAATTCAGAAAATACTAAACAGTTATCTGGTTTTAAGAAAATAACATTTTAAAGCGCAGATGCAAAAAAAAAAAAAAAGCACAAGGATTTGAGGAGAGAAATGCATTTCTTCAGAATTTCTTCTTTTTGGCTGCGCTTTTCCTAATAAAGCGCGTGCGTCCTCCAGCTCTAATAGGTGGAAAAGCGTCAGACGGGCTGCTTGACTCATGCTTGATTAACTCTGTGCTAATTAGCGCTGGTGGAGAGCTGAGAGGAGCTGTAATTTATGTGCTGGCAAAGCCCCGGAGGAATGAGGTGGAATGTAAATGCACTTGGCGCCTGTGATCGCAGCTCCTGCGGCGCGCGAGAGAAAGCCAGAGAAAGCCAGAGCGGGTCACTGGAGCCGTGGCGGAGGCCAGGAGGACGAACCCTCGCAGCTGCTGTGCAAAAACCCGCGGAAAACCACACGACCTTGAGACAAGCTGAAGGAAGTGTGGGTTCGTGCCACAGAAGAGCAATGAAAATGACCTGAAGAGAGCATTCGTCTTCCAACACACTGCTGCATTTATTTGGAAGTAATTTAAAACTACTTGGAAACAAATTTCTGTTCTATTATATTTAATTGACTTTGGCCAATTAGCTGCTAACTTTCTTTTTTGTTTAGACACTACCATTGTTTATTATTTTATTTTATTATTTAATTTGATTGGATTTTATTTAATTATTTTTATGTATTTTATTTATTATTTTTGTATTTTTTATTTTCTGTTTTTTTTATTTCTGTTTATTTTTTTAATTGAATTTTTATAGCTTATTTCTTTATATTTTATTAATTATGTAATATATTTTATTTATTATAGAAATTGATTAATTTTGATTTAATTGTTTATTTTATTACTTTTTATGTATTATTTTATTTTTATTATCTATTTTGTTTTTGTTTTTTTTTATTTGTATTTATGTGTAGTTTTTTTAATTTAATTTAATTTTAATTTTTTATTATTATTTTATTTTATTATTTAATTTGATTGGATTTTATTACTTAATTAATTATTTGTATGTATTTTATTTATTATTTTTATTAATTTTTTATTTTCTCTATTTATTTTTCTAAATTAAATTTTTATTTCATATTTATTTATATTCTATAAGTTATGTAATATATTTTATTTATTATAGAAATGGATTGAATTTGATTTACTTGTTTATTTTATTACTTTTTATTTATTTAATTTTTATGTATTTTGTTTTATTTATTTATTTTTATTTAATTTGTATTTATATGTATATGTTTTTTTATTTTATTTTATTTAATTTTTATTTCTTATTTTTATTTATTTTATTTTTATTTTATCTTATTGGCTAGCACACAGCCTGCAGATGCATTCGTGGGAGTGTCTGCGGCTGCAGTGCGTCTGTTTGACATTCTCGTGAGCCGGTCGCACTCGCCGGTGAAGAGGGTGTTGAAAGTAAAGAGAAGATCAAAGGATGTGAGCCTCTGCGAGAGCTTCATCCCTCTGTCTGATGACAAGACTCTCCTCATCTCACTCACTCCGGCCACTGGAGCTTCATCGTGTTTTCATTGCACGACTGCTCCTCATCCGCTCACGTTCAAGAGTGATCAAGTAACACAGAATCACTGCTGATGAACAAATGCTGAGCAGATCCATGCGACCCTCACATCCAGCTCTTACAGAAGATCCAGTCATGGATTTTATGAAGCAGTTTGTAGAAGATTTATGTTTTTGGATTTTATTCATATTCAT